TTTTTGACGGCGTTCTTGATCATCTTTTTCAAGCCGGCAATGAGGTCGCCTCGGACGGTGCAGCAAATGCAGCCATTGTTCATCTCGATGATGTTCTCCTGTGTCGCGATTGAGCCGGCCTCAATCAACCCGTCGTCGATGCCGACCTCTCCGAACTCGTTCTCGATGATGCCTATGCGCTTGCCGTGGTTCTCGTGAAGGATGCGATTCAGCAGTGTCGTCTTCCCGCTTCCCAGGAATCCGGTGAGCACCGTGACGGGCACCTTGCTTTCTGAAGGCTTTGCCTTCATAGCTGCCTGCACCTGTGCCACTTTGTCCTTCAACGCCCCGTCTGTGCTCCCCAACTGCTGTGCACACTCGTAGTCACTGGCTGCACGCTTGTGCGCGCCCAGGCCCGTAATGATATCACCACGCAGCTCGTACATTTGCCGAAGGGTATCCTTCTGCTCCGCCGAGACCTTCGGAACCATCTCGGCGATGAACGTTGGAGGGTCCTTCAAAATCTTGTCCGACTCGTCGCCCAGAACCTTCGCGAAGGCTTGCATGCAGGCGTTGATGTGCTGCACAGCATCGAAGAACTTCCCTTCCTTCAGGGTTGCCTGTGCGGATGCAAAACTTTCGGTCCAGTTTTCTGCCATGGCGTCAAGATGGCGACTGAAGTGCAGCGTCGGTTGTCAGCACTATTTGCGAATTGGACCTGAGACAAAATAGCAATGAGTCATGAAAGTCTCGGATTCTTGCAGCTGGCACTATGCCGTCTGCATCAAGAGATATCATGCCCCTTCCTCCACGATGGCCGTGACCATGCTCAGGGAAACTTGCTTTCGGATCTCGAAGTTCAAGAAGCTGACCAGGCCCTGAATGGAGCGGACTTTAGACTTTAGACGTGGAGTGTATAGGAGTGTGGAATCTAGGAACTGTCGGGTAGATTCATCTCAGTTTGCCAAACGTAACCATGTCAACCTTGCTCCACTTGGACTGCTGCCTGCTCCCACATGCCCAAACCGCTTCTCAATCTTGCGTTTTTGAGCGACGTCACTTAGGGCAGGACGGCGAAGTGCTCCATCCTCAGATATGCTGAGGAGCATGAATCTTCAGGAAGGGCTTTGGGTCAGGAGCGGCATGAAATTTCGTACAAGCGGTAGAGAAGGATTCCGCCGCTAAGGGTGCCATATCGCCTAGAAAATCTGACAGGGCTTGTGCGATTAGAACCCATAAACGGAGCTTAAACAGTCTTCAAACAGGTATTCCAAACAGGAGCCATGCCAGAATATGCCTTACAGCAAGGCCCGGTCGAGTCTGGGAGGCTGCAGCCATGCTTCTTACAGGCATTTTGGAGTTGGTTAGTGCCTCGGACATGTTTGAGCTTCGTCTCGAATCTAGAATCTAGATTCGAGCGCCACCGGAAGATTACAACTGAAGGTCTAAAGGCTTCCAAGCTGAAATTGAAACCACGGCACTTTCTCACCTCAAACGCTTCCTTCTGAACTTGGAAACCGTGCCTGACAACCCGATTTGGGAAAACAAGCTGCGGTTGGAGAAGACACTGACACACCGAAACAAGCCCAAGGCTGAGCAGTAAGATCACCCTAAGCCCTAAGCATTCAAGCTAAGCAGCTTCAGGACTCCGAGGCCCAAAGTTTTCATTGGCCCGGCCCTTGGGCGCGAACGCTTTGCAAAGGTAAGGAAGCAACGTAGGCGTCGATGGGTTTTCATGAGTTCCAGCTGAGTGCCGAAGCTACTAACAAAGAAGGTGGTGATGATAAATATACATATTACTACCACGTTATACAAGGCCTGAACTCTGATCTGACGCCATGCACACCTGAAATCCTGCACCAATGAGCAACGACGAAGAGAACTAGTACTGGTGCCCACTAGTATTCCAAACAACAACTGCGCCACACTGCTCCTCACTCGATGTGGCGATTGTAGGAAGACGGGTAGTGGTAGTAATGGTGGTGGCGGTGGCTTTGAGGCATAGGCCGTATACTAATTACAACTACCACCACAGCGACAACGACGACGGCGACTTACCACGACTGCGTCCAGGCGTCGCGTTCCCGTCGTACCCGGATTTGTTTGGGTGGGCGTAGGTTTGCGAGAGTCATTTCCCTGAGGGGCTCTTCCATGCTGGCCAAGAGTGGAACTGCATTTGCTTCCGTTCTGGTCGCTACTATCGTGTCACAGGCAGTGGGAGAAGACATCAAAGAAATCCTGCTGAAAGAGAACAGCATTGAACAACTTGTTGCCGTGTGGTGGGACTGGACTTCAGGAACCATCATGACCCGCCGCACGACATACTTTTCAAACTAGCTCATCTGCTACCCTTCGGAAACAAGACCCCCTGCGGTTCCTTAGCGATAATTGAAGCCCCTTTGGAGGGCAGTGCACATGCCCTCATGCCCAACTCACCTCGAAGCATCAGCAATCGCCGATGACGACTCCAAGAACATGTGCTAAGTCATGCAAGGCTCTGGCACGACTTAAGAACAAAGCAAAAAAATCAACAGAGCACAGATGGTCAACGATTGTAAGAACGACCAGTGGGATTCTACATCCAAATCGATATGGTTGGTTTGGCACTCATGTTCTCAGAACGAAATGTGCATGAGGTCTCAGAGGCACTTCCTGGTGCAAGAATTAATAGTCGCCGTTCGGCATGACGTCCACCCACTTCAGAAACATTTGACGTGCCAGAGTGCTGACAAGATACTGTGGGAGGTGTGGCGTGCAAGAAGCGCGAAGCATGTATGCGACACATGATGTCAGCCACCGACCAATTGCCACCGCTTCTGAGGTGCAACGGTGCATCTTTGACAACATTCTGCGATGAGGCCATTGCACCCTCGAGGTCAAGTCTTGTAGACCCGCAGTGGCCCAAGTTGTCAAGACGCAATGCCCAATGCTGAAGTCCCGGCAAAACAACAGGCGGTGCCACGGTGCATCCAACATATTGCAATGTTCGCGGGGACTCTGGTCAAACCCGAGGTCACGGCAGCAACTCCCCGATCTGGTCTGCAGCCTTCTCGGATATCGGACCGCTGCAGCCTTTCTGTCAGCATTGATCAAAACGGGTCGACTCGCCAAATCACCGTACCACAAGATCTCCCTAGCCGCAGATCAAAACAGAATTTCGACACTTAAGATGCAGAGCAACCTGACGGTCTCGAGCGACCCGAGAATGAGTTTCCAGGTGCTCTTTGGCTATGGCTAGAGAAAAAACCTGCATCTACGAATAGCCTGGGATAAAAGAAGACCCCGGAAAGGACCATTCGGCTGCCCACCTGCTGAACCACACGTATCTAAAAAAACAACCATAGATCGGTTACGAGGAAGTGGTTGCAACCGCTTCCACTCCAGGCCCTCGCAAAGGTGAGATCAAGCCCACAGCTTCCAGCCCTGAAGCCTATCCCAAAAAGGCCCAACAAAGGGCAACGATCAAGAAAACGAACGCTTCGGCCTTTGACTCTTTGACTTACACCTCAGCTCCACTACACGCTGTCAGTTGCTGGGCCAGTTCAATCGCAAATCCAAACACGTGCTTCAAGAACGAAACCCCAAGACATGAACAATCCGCAAAACCAGCTACCCAACCGATCATAGCTCCAAGATTGAATATCAAAATCTCCACACCCTGGACGCCATGGCGGCTGCCTGGTAGAGCCTTAAACTTCTGCAGTAACTCGGCAGCAGATCCCAGAATTATGTCGACATAGTGGACCTTCCGGGAAAGCCCGAGTGGTACAAACGACAATAAGAACACCTACCGTTGCAAATTGACAGTATAGATTCAGATTACGGGGCAATCATAGCCGCCGCACCCGGCACCCAAGCAACAACAACAACAACAACAACAACAACAGCAACAACAACAACAACACCAACACCAAAACCAACAACCAACAAAAAAAACAACAAACAACAAACAACAAACAACAACCAACAACCGACAACCAACAACCAACAACAAACAACAAACAACAACCAACAACCAACAACCAACAAAAAAACAACAAACAACAACAACAAACAACAACCAACAACCAACAAGCAACAACCACGACCCAGATGGACCAGAAATGGGAAGCAAATCCTTTCCATGCAAACACACGCACACACACACACACACAGATGCGCAGAAACAAGCTGTATAAGAACCCGGCGATCCCGGCGGCTCCCTTTGGCCTCGCTTCCTGGAGCGCCTGGTTTGATCCAAACCTCGGAAGGACGAAGTCCCAAGGCTTGATGGCGCAGGGAGGCTCAGGGCTGTTTTGGCGGGTTGAGGAAAGCTTGACCAAGGCCTCACCTCGATCTGCGCAACACCGGATTTCAGGTCACGAAATCATGAGACGCCCTGTGTCATAGGTCGCAAGGCCACGGAGTCTGCACCGAGTTTGCAGCCGAATCGTACTTGTCGCGAGACCGGGACCTGACTGATCTCATCCACAGCTAATGCACCATGATTGGCTGTTTTCTACGTGCCTGGCCTCGAAGGCGTGCGTCGCCGGGCAGACGCAGACGAAGGACCCCCAAATTCAGCTCTTCGGTACCTCTACTGCAACATTCACTATGAAGCGGTGCTTGAAGAAGCGGCCGGATATGGCCGGATTCGACTGCCTCCTCTTCATCTCCGAGAGGCGGCGAAAATGCTCCGCCTGAGGGTTCACAATCCCTCCGGGGAATTTGGGGTTTTTTAATACTATAATCATAACAAGGCACCCCCAAAACAGTATAGATACTTATCAAGGCCCCGGGAAATTTGCTGGCTTTTGTACCCGCCGCTTGGTGCCAGACCACCTCTCCTGGAGAGTGAACACGGGGCCCCTGGCACATCAACGCATGCGCGAAAGCCTCCGAGTCTCCGAGAAACACCAGGACGGCCGCACGGAAGGGTCTGCTAAGGCAGCTCGGAGGCTTATGGGATCCTGCCCAAAAAGGAGGGAATCAAACGAATAAAAAAAAAACGGCACGGCAGGACACAACGAGGAACTCTTTCCGCCGCCCAAGCCTTCGAGTCGGGCGATGCCTCGAAGCAGAGACACCCCGGAACAGGGGCGCTGTCTGAAGCTGCTACTAGATTTCCGCTCTTCACAGAGATGCGACGTGCGCGCGCCTTCCGGGATTTTCCAGCCGGGGCAGCCGGACCTCCCAACACTACGGGGCGAAGCTCTTGAGGAGTCGCAGGCAGAAGCGGACAAGGCAAAAGAATCACTGGTGCAGTTCTTCTGCTTGGCACTGCTTGGACGAAGATGTCTTTCAGGCGTCGACCGGGCGAAGCAGAGACCGCCACTGCCTCGCGCTCTCAGAAATCATCACGACTTGCTGCTGTCACAAACCCAACTGAGCTCTCTGCCAACTTTGGCACTGACCTGCCAGATCCGACGGAGTGCTCAGGCCACGAGCTGCCAAGCGACGACCTGGTCTTCTGCTTTTCAGCCAACTTTCTGTTTCGATGATCCTGCAAGGAGAACCCTGCCGAAGAGAGTCGCAAAGGGCGGCACAACACGAAGGAGTCTGCACTCCTCGTCATCGTCCTCGTCGTCTGCCATGGCAAAAGCCTGCCACCCAACAAGCCGCAAGCCTGAACACCGACCTGATGGCGATCTAAACTTCTCGAGGCCCGGACTCCTTTTAGCTTCTGCTGGCGTGCGGCCTGGAAAGCACTCGCCGCCGCGCTCGACCCAACCCCGCCTTCCGTGGGCTTCGGGGAGGCCGTCCTTACGCTCCTCCTCCTGCCGCTTTTGCTCCTCGCGCTGTCGGCGTTCCTCTGCCTGCAACAAGGTTCATGGTTCGATGAGGCAGTCTGCAGGACATGAACCGAACACTCAGACTCTGGCCCACTTTGCTTCCTGCTCAGCCCACCGTTTGCCTGCCAGGAGTGCTCCCAAAGCCGACACCGAGCACGAAACGTTGCAGCGCAGAAGGCTCAGCCCTGAGAGCAGCGCGGGCTTCTGCCTCCTCCGCCTCTTTCCTTCGCTTCTCCTCTCCGGAAGTCTCTGGACGTCGATGAATAGCATCCCCAAGCAGAAACAGGAAACGCTTAGCCTGTGAACAGCCTGAAAGCCTTCGTGGAAAAAAAGGATTCTCTCAGATCATGGAGGTGTTTCTGCTCACGGAGGCAGGCATTGGTACTTGATCTCGAGGAATTGCCATCCCTAAAGTTGCCATAAGCTCAACTCAACATCACTCCAAACCCCCAGGCGCCCCAGGGCCCAGCACTGGAGGACGGGGCACGACGGACACGAAAACCGGCACAGTCCGCTGGCTGCTGGATGCCGCTGGATGCCGCTGGATGCCGCTGGCCTCCGCATCCTTCACCACCTTCTGTGCTTTGGCATCAGCCTCCTTCTTCTCCCGAACTGCGGCAGAGTCGCATTAATCCCATCATCGAAACCCTTATACATGTAGCGGAAAGAGGAGTCTATTCGGGGCCATGGCCACGTGGTTTGCGACGTCTGTGCCACTTCTTTCGGCGCTGAGCACCCGACGACGCCGCTCCTCAGAGCCCTCGCGACGCTCGCGCTCCTCAGAACGAATGCTCGGCGACCTCTCAGCCACGAAGTTCTGGGACTCTCCTCAAACTCACCAACTCTTTCCTGCCTTCTCTGCTGTCGGCTTCTCTGGAGCCTCAAAAAGAAGCTTCAGCACTTCAGAAGCTCCGTAGCTAACTGTCTCAATCAGGCTGGGGAGGAGGCTGCTTTGCAGCTTTGAGTTTGGCAATCTCAGCCCTGCGAGCTGCTTCCGCTGCTGCTTCTGCCTCCTGCGAAGCGCCCCGAGGCGCTGCGTCAAATCCTTACGCTCGCTGGTGCCCACCCTAGCACCTTCTGCTTCTGCAGCCTCTGCTTGTAGGCCGGATTTCGTCCTATCACCAACAGGCCACTGATGATCGATGTCGTCAGGTCCTCTCTGCCTCTGAGCCCCAAGCTCGACGTGACAAGCCCAGGGATCGGAGCATCGCCTGTGCCAGCCCGGTGGGACATCGCCGGAAGACCTAACCGCAGTCCAAGCAGATCCTTCTTGCTCTGCTGTCAGGCCAATCTCCCCTCTCAATATGCTGGTGATCACCGCAAGTGTATTGCAGCTCTCAAGAACAACTGAAAGCATGCTACTGAGCATGTTAATTGTTTCCACGTTGTGTTCGAGTGCGGTTAGGGTCAGGACAGAGGTTCAGGGTTTAGTGAGGCAGCGAGCAAAAACAGTTTTCAAGATTATCAACGACACTTTGAAGGTACACGAGACCCAATGGAGGAAAAGCCATGGCACGAGCATCTCTCTCGCTCTCTCTCTTTTTGTTTCGCCAGGGCTAGGGTGTAGGGGTTTGACCACCTACACCGCGCGCGTCAAGCGCCCCCGAAAGTTGCGGGTGCCAGAGGAAAGACGTGCGCACACCACCGAGGCAAAAAGTTGCGAGGGCAAACAAAGCAACAACAAGATAAAAGTGCGACTTGCCTCGGTGGGTGTGCTGAGAGAAAAGGAACACAGTTCAGTCTATCGGGGTCAGGTGCGAGGCAGGCAACACGTCAAAAGAAACCTTAAGGGTACATCCCCCGCAGACTGAAAGTCGAATGGCACCAGGCTTTGAATTACCTCGAGCGGAGGTACGGCAAGTTGAGAGATAGCTGGCTCCTGCGGCCCGTCATTTTGTACATGGAAGAAAAATCCTCCAGGGGAATTCCCCACACTCAGTTGGAAAAGAACGGAGAGGCACGAAAACATCGAAGGGATTCGATCTGTTCACTCATACATGCCTTTGTGCTCAAACTACTGGGTCAGTCCCAGAAAACTGCCGCACTCACGGTTGTGCTCACTGCTCAGGTCTCTTCGCGGGCGCTGTGTTCACGCAAAGGTTGAAGGCGTCGGGGTAGGGGTGAGCCCCTGTGCTCAGAAGGTGTGCTCCTTCTCCGCGGCAAAGGCGAGCGCGTGCGATTTCTCACTGGGGCATTTCCCCGGCTTGTGGCAGGTATGGCCCTATGACTGTCCTTCGACCAGGTACCCGATGCACGTTCACGTCGCCGGTGTTGTCGATATTGTTCTCTCATCGCCTTGCGGTAGGCAGCCCACATTTGCGCATCTGTTTAGTACTGTTGTAAGCCATATGGGGCCTGCCCCTGTTCATCTCGTTGTCGTAGAAGGGCATGTAGTCTTGTTCTTTGCTGCGCCGTAAGAGACGGAGGGGGTCCGGTAGACGAAGGGGGAGCCACCCCTGGATTGGAATCATGCTCTTCGTCGGACTCCGGGCTTGGCGGTTGCTCAGGTGCAATGGGTGCATCTTTGTCACACGCATCCTCGTCGAACTCGGGGCTCAAAGACTGTTTGGGTACGACTGGTTCTCCTTCGTCACGGGCTGCTTCGGGCTCGTCTGAGCATTCGAGCTTCAGGTCGTTCTGGCGGTCCACGGGAAGGGTCATGGCGTTGTCGGCGTTGTCGCTGTCCGGCAGATCATTGAGGACATCAGTGGAGGGGTGTAGCTCCTGGGAAACTTCACCTCCTCGTTGCCAGCCTGGTGGTAGGGGTTCAAGCATGGCCCAAGTAGCTGGTTCTGGCTCCTCGTAATCTCTGGAGCTCTCCTTGGACGCTGCATTGTCATGCAGCTCGGTAGTGCCATCCGAGTGTTGGGGCATCCAAAGCAAGAGCCAGTCGACAGGGGAATGGCCAATAAAGCGTACCCCTTGTGCCATGGCCAGCGCTCCTGCCGACCTCGTGCCGCCGCTCCGGGGATGT